TGACTAGTTGTAGATGCAAAATATTGAGAAAAAATGCCAGATTTGTCTTGGAAGTCCAGTGACTTTGTGTGTATGACACTTTTGCAACATGGCTGTTTCACATGGTTTAGAAGAAGATGAGGAAGCAACGTAGATAAAGCCAATCAACCAAGTTTGATAATCCTCTGCAACGTTTCAAGATGTTTTCAAAACCTTACAGTCGCTTTCCAGTGGGATGCCTGATTAAGCCACGAGTCTGCCCAAAAGATAATTGCCACCAGCCACTAGAGGACTCGTGTGTATGGTGTAGCTTCAGTTTTCACGTAAACTTCCTGCATCTAGTCAAATGTTTATGCAACGGCTTAATTCAAAATTCAACTGTGCAATATTTATGCAGCCAAACTGTATCTAGGTCTCACCTGATGCAACTTCATCTCAGTATGAATCATATCTGTTTCATGCTGTTTGCATAAGTTTGAATTCAGCTGCACAAGTTGCATCCCTCACAAGCACCTGTACCTTCCTTGTGTCCAAACAGCTGCGAATGCAGGGCCAAAGCTCTTTGTGTCGCCTCTTGTTCCTTGTACCTAATAATTAGTCTGACCCTAGGGAATGTGCTGCACAGAGAAACAGCCAATGGATGTACTACAGAGAGTAAAGCAAAGACAGCACACATTTTTCCTGGTTAGTTGGTGCAGAAATCTGGAGTGTTTGAAAGATTCAGTACGTGCATGTTAAATCAGCAGACGTGTCTTTGCACTGCACTCTGCGCTCTTCAATGTTACAAATCTGCCATTTCACACATCTCTCATCTATTCTGCAACAAAGCCTGCAGAAGATGCTGTCAACGCTTCTATTAACGTGAGTCAGATCAGAAACGTATTAATCTTAATCTCTAATGTGTTCATTCATTTACATCTCTAAAGTAACACCGTATTAGTTGCACCTTGACGATATGTCACAACATGAAGTAAACATGACTGAATTATGCTACGATTGTAAGCTATAAGTTGCAAAATGGTGACAGCTGATTGAAGGAAAGACTTTGTTGTCTCCCTCTGGTGCCAGAGAAACCCAGTAAAAGTGTTTGATGCTTGCGGCCATATTCAAATATGAGAAGCTTTATATGGTTCTAATTTTCTTTTTACCGTCAAATAGCAAGATGGATCACAGGACTGGTTGTGACTGGAGAGAGTTGATTCTGAAAAACCCACTTGAGATTTATTCTAGTTTTCCTGAGATTCACAGAGCATGTTGCACCCCTCAGCTCTGCTTTTAGTCTTTATTTTTGGTTCTTGGCTTATCAGTGTCACTCTGAAATCTCCAAGGGCTCATTATCGCTATCATCGCTTTGTTTACAATTTTCACAACTAACTGCACACTCTCACTCGCTGTCCAAATGTGAATTCAATGATGTCATGCAAAAAGATAGTGGAGCATTTCAACCTCTAACTTGTATTAAATCCAGATGCCGTGAAGGTTTAGCTATACCATGCTATGACTAAACTCTGGTTGATTCTTATTTAATAGGGATGCGTATTGGTGAAATGTTGTCGATACAATACGTATCACGATACATGGGAGACGATACAATGTATCCCAATATATTGCAATACATTCAGTCAGATAGAATTAGGGATTTTATAGACTGAATTTATTGTAGGAATATTCAATGAACAGTTCAAACTGATACGTGACATGTTTAACATGAGGTATTCGAACCATAACAGAAGGATTTACATTTCAGCAGTCGGCATTTGAATTGCACCAAAATAGACAAATGTTTGCATGTAAATTCTTCCAAAATTAGATAGACAGCTTTTGAATTCCACAGGAAAAATATCACATTATATTTCCATATTGGTATTTCCAAAACACAGCCTTTGAATATTGATATATTATTGCTGGAAAAAATATCACAATATATTGCCATATCAATATTTTCTGGCTTGGATTGGGTTAAAAACATATGTAGTGTGTCCTGGGGTTTGGATGGGCCACAAAGAAGCCACTTTACCTGAGAAAAACATCCTTGACAGACTTCCCAGGGACTGGATTACTGTGAACTGGGGAAAGTAGTTTTCTTTAGTGAATCCCCTTTCCACTTTCATGGGGCATCCAGAAAAATAAACGCCGTTGTCGTCGTCATCTTCCTCCGCTTATCCAGGTCCGGGTCGTGGGGGCAGCATCCCAACTAGGGAGCTCCAGACCGTCCTCTCCCCAGCCACCTCCACCAGCTCCTCCGGCGGGACCCCAAGGCGTTCCCGCACCAGATTGGAGATGTAACCTCTCCAACGTGTCCTGGGTCGACCCGGGGGCCTCCTGCCAGCAGGACATGCCCAAAACACCTCCCCGGGGAGGCGTCCAGGAGGCATCCTGACCAGATGCCAAAACCACCTCAACTGACTCCTTTCGATCCGGAGGAGCAGCGGTTCTACTCCGAGTCCCTCCCGAATGTCCGAGCTCTTCACCCTATCTCTAAGGATGAGCCCGGCCACCCTACGGAGGAAACTCATTTCGCCCGCTTGTATCCGCGATCTCGTTCTTTCGGTCATTACCCAAAGCTCAGGACCATAGGTGAGGATTGGGACGTAGATCGACCGGTAAATCGAGAGCCTGGCTTTCTGGCTCAGCTCCCTCTTCACCACGACAGATCGACTCAGCGTCCGCATCACTGCAGACGCTGAGCCGATCCGCCTGTCGATCTCCCGATCCCTCCGACCCTCATTCATGAACAAGACCCCGAGATCCTTAAACTCCTCCACTTGAGGTAGGAGTTTAAAAATAAACGTCTGGAGAAGAAAAGATAAACTTTCCCTTCAGTCCTGTCATGCCAAGAGTAAAGAGTTCAAAAACAATGCATGTGTGTGGGGTTGCTTCTATGTCAACGCAGTTTAGCCTTGGAACACATAAAGAATGATGCCTTAACTTCCTCCATGAGCTCCTCCCAAGCAGATTAAGCTGCCATCTGCCAGGATTTGGTCCAGTAGTTGATCAAGAGGACGACAGGTTGAAGAAACAACTCTGCATAAACCTAATGTAAATAATAAAATCCTTTGAAAATGGTTTAAATTACTTCACAATAACAATAGAAACATTTAAGAAAAATATTTAAAGGGCTTGTTCACTGAGACACTGTTTAACACTTGTTCTTTCTGAAATATGATTGGTCACTGCGAGTTGCAATTGCATTCTGAACATGAAATTTTTCTCCAACCCCAATCGCCTGCATTAGTGAGGCTAACGCATTTGCCTCCCTAATGCATTAGCCTCAGAAAGAAGTTACGAAAAAGCCAGTCTCTTCTATGTCACAGAGAAAATCCGCATTCACGGCCCCGTCCACCTTTGCTTGCGACCGCAGAAGGCTGTAATGAGTAAGCAGCCAGGAGAAACCAGAGCTCATTTTGACTTGTAGAAGCTAATCGTTAGCATTAGGAACCCCACAACACGGCGGACATATTTAGGCTTATTTCATGAGATAAAACATCACATTGCAATTTTCAAGAAAGAAGTAAATGACCTATATTTGATTTAGCGCCTTCTCGAGTCATGGAACCCCCCAAGGTGCTTTACAACACAATCAGACATTCACACGCTGGTGGGATGAGCTACGATGTAGCCACAGCTGCGGGGCGCACTGACAGAGGCGAGGCTGCCGAGCACTGGCGCCACCGGTGCCTCCGACCACCACCAGCAGGCAACGTGGGTTACCCCGGGTTTCCACGGGAGCCGCCAGCAGCACGTTACTGCAGCAGCACGTCTTGCTCGCGTAAACTGCTGCTTGGCCCTTCCCACGAGACGCAAGGCAGCAGGGGAGCAGCTGTCACCGACCGAGCACGAAGTCACACGAGTGACTTCGTCAGTAAACACAACAACAAGCAGGAGAAAATTACAACATGGTTTGTGTTTTATGTTCTGTCCGTTTTATAATCGCCAATACGGACCTGAAAAACAAAGGAGACCGCTAGCTAGGTGATAACTTCTCACGGGGACGCACAGTTAGTAACGTTTTTTAAAAGTAAAGCAACCGGAAGGCAGTACGTTCTTTATTCTGAAAATCTCGGTAGATTCTCTCCATTTCCGCGTCCGATTTCCTGTCTTTCCTTCCCCAAAAATGTCGAACTTGACCCGTTTCAGAGGCGTAGCGAGTAGAAAATAGAACCGGCGCGTAAAGGCCGCGACATGCTGCTCCTGAGACGCGGCCGACTCGCGCTGCTGACGGCTGCCGACAGCTCCGGTGGAAAAGGTTCTGTTGACCACAGCGGTTCCTATCAGCAGCTATGACGTGCTGCTGCAGTAACGTGCTGCTGACGGCTCCTGTGGAAAGCCGGGGTCAGGTTCTTGCCCAAGGACACAACGACAGCGGCAAACTGAGCGGGGCTCGAACCGGCAGCCTTCCGATTGCGGGGCGAGCACTTAACTCCTGTGCCACCGTCGCCCATAAGAGCAAATGAAGACAGTGGATGAGTCTCGTTTTTAGCCAGTCAGAGGCGAGACGTTTGCATTTTATTAGTATTAACATGAAACACTAGAAATCATGTCGTTTTCTGCCTCCTACTCCTCTGAAACAGGAGTCTCTCATGCACCAGACATTTATTTATTCTAGAGACTAAAATGTACTGAAGCATTAGACATTGTGGAAACAAACACGTGTAATTCTTCACGTTTGACCTCAAACTCAAGAATTTAAGGTAAACTGTGTTTTGTTGCTCTGGGAGGTCTGGTCAACGGACCTTTAATCAGTGTAAAACTATGCACTACAACACACGAGGGCATGTGGAGAGTCTAAAATTAAATCAATCCTGTTCTCTTACCCTCATCTTTTCCTAGCATTCTGCCACTTATTGGTCTGATAGCGTCACATCTGCATCCTTTCCTGAAATGTAACTTTCCTTTTTTTCTTCTATTTTAAAACTCCTCGTTTTTGAATTGCGGAACAAAAGACTGATGTGATTTGTCTAAATTTGGAGGAAGCAGGACTCTTTATCTTTGTGTTCATTTTGGTTTTGTTGTCATTCCAGGACTTCCTGACAGATTTGATGATGTCTGAGGTGGACCGCTGTGGAGAGAATGAACACCTCATCTTCAGAGAAAACACACTAGCGACTAAGGCCATTGAGGAATACCTAAAGCTGGTGGGACAGAAGTACCTGCAGGATGCCCTCGGTGAGTGGATGAGAGGATCGGTGAGGGGTGAAGGGTTGAAGATATTTTTCTTGGTGAAATCAAGCAAATACCAATGGAAGCAGAGATTAAACAATATGTCTTTTGCTCTGGGGAGTAATTCTGACAGGAAGTAAAGTGAAGCAGCTCTTCTATCTCAGATTTATTTTAATTTTTTTTTGTTTGGGAGTCTCATTGTAGACAAAACTCTTCATAATGCAACACAAGACTAAAACGCTCATGTGGGGTTTGTAACAACATGTCTGATGGTCCCAAAAGGAACATCGAGCACCAAATGGTGCTTGCACAAAGTTTATTAGCTCAGTGCATCATGGTGTGTGTCAGCTGGTTCCTACGAACCATCAGTGCTGCAGTGGAGCTAACTACCTGACCTGTTTAGTCTCAACAGCTTTTCTTGTGATTGAAGTTTTTATGGGAAGCTTCCTTTGGTCACGTCTGCCAGATTTCTGTTTCCTGCTGTTTTCTTCAAAGATCCAAACAACCTAAAGTCCCCCCTGAACCGCTCCGGAGGCTCAGACATTCAGCCACAATAAGTAAAAAGCTAAAATGTAAATAAATATTTACCCAATAAAACAAGACTTAGGAACCATGTAGTCACAGTCAAATAAAAAGTGTTATTTATAAAATAACACTTGATGTAACCAGTGCTTAATTTGTAAATCAAACGTTCTAGGTGTTATGTCGATATGTGTCCCCCTCGAGAACTGTTTCTTTTGCACCCAGCTGCGAGTGGAAATGACTCAGTCACAAAAACTAACCCTAACCCTTACCCTAACCACCCTGGCACCAAAAATTTATGTTTCGCATTCATGTAATTTTTGAAAATATCATGTGTAGCACAAGTTTTAGGTTTGTTTCAATCAATCAATAATCAATTCAAAGATACTTTATTAATCCCAGAGGGAAATTAGAGTTTCAGTACACACAATTCTAAGATCAGACATACATAGGCAAAGACACATGACAAGAATTGGTGACTGTGGTCATTCGCAACCCTGAGTCGCGCTACCTTAATAGAGATAAGAGGGTAACATGAGGATTGGTTCAGGTGGAGGGAAAAAAAAGGCACTTCAGAGCTACCCTCCACCAGGAGGGTAACTTTGCTCTGCAAAAAAAAACAAACACCTCAGACAGACATGCAACAGACTTCAGACAACACAACATAAGTGTCCACTAGGAGGGGTGGTGGGTTGGGACTATCCCAACTTCAGCTCCTGCAGCCACGATGAAGCAGCGCATGTCACCTCAGTCTGGATGGGGGGGGGGGGCATTTAGGGTTGGAGGGTTGCAGTGACCCTGGACACTTCAGCAGCCTTCCCGCTGTCCCGCCCAGGCTGGGAAAGGAGGCAGAGTTGAGTTGCCATAGCGATGGCACATTCCACATATCTTCTGGGTTATTGTTAGGGTAAGGGTTAGGGTAAGGGTTAGGATACACATTTTTTTGCGAGTGGATGCTTCAAACTCGCAGCTGGGTGCAAAAGAAACAGATCTCGAGGAAGGAGCACACATTGATGGAACACCGGAACAGTCCTTTCAAAATAAGACAGTTCCCGGATCTTGTTCTGGCAAGATCCGGCTCAAATTAAGCCCTGGGTGTAACTACTGCGAAAAGACATTTGTTGGCTAATCAGGACGGATTTAACCACGCAAAAAAAAAAATAAATAAATAAATGAATAAAAAACCTCTACAAGTTTTCATGGTGAAAGAATTTTTCAAATGCTTCAACTTTTTTTATTTTATTAAAGGAGACGTTTACTTTCTGTTTTACACCAGCCCTAATCTCCTGTTATTCAGAGATGCAAGAACCCCTTTAGAAAGCTTTCTAAATGTCTTTTAAGGCGTTCTTTTGGACCTTTCCTGATTTTTCCCAAATTTTCTGACCATAAGAACAACTTATGAAGTTTTGTTTTTAATTTTGGGAAAGTGGAAAATTACCACAGCAGTTAAAACAGTATCTGAAAATCAGAAAACTATCAAGCAGACCCGAGAGCTGTTAGTGTTGCGTTATCAGCTAATAGCTCTCTGGAAATCTTTGTTGGTGCTGAAATATTGTTTTCATGTGTTCTAGTGTGCCATCCCTGAAACCCGAAGAACAAAAACTAAGTATATCCCTAAAGATCAAAACATTTTCCGCTTGAGTTTGGGGACCGTTTTACTCCTGACGGATTTGTAAATCTGATTGAGATGCCTCACAAACAGAAAATAGAAATAAAAGAAGAAAAACGTCCCGAAAAAGCAGTCAGTGACCCTAAATAACTCTCGATCGAGTCCGCTTTAAAAGGTTACAGTAGAAGCTGTCTGCTTGGAAGCAAAGACATGAAGATGACTCAAGACTTTTGTACGGATCTCTAGGCAACGCAAGCATCCAGAGACTCTGAAAGTGACGTTTTAGTCCTCTGCTGAGCTTGATCTCACTTGAAGCTTGGGTTCAGGTCATCTCCTGAGTAATCACCACATGGAAGCAGAATATTTAGCATCAGAATGTGCTGACATCATACATTCCAACCCAAGTCATGTGCGTTGTTAAACACAACATTTTTCTGAGTTTGGAACGAGCTCGTTTGTCCATCTGCGGCTCCAACAATTATCACTCTGCTCTGTTTGCTTTGCCTCCATCATCCTTCAGAAATGTTCGCAGCGGCGGCTTCATCCACATCCTTCCTGGCACTCATCACTGTTATGTTTCTGTACGCCGCCAACATCACTGCTGTGTGTGTTTGTAGTTGTCGCTGCTCCCTTGTCCCAGAATGCCGTTCTCAGGGTCAATTCCTAGAAAATTATAAATTAGTCATCGCGTCTTTGTGGTGTGATGTCTGGATAAACTGTTGAACTGACCAGACCTGCGACTGGAGACTACAAGAAAGCGTGTGTTTAAAACTCCGGGGACAAAAGCACACGCCTGTTCTAGTGAACGGGAAGTCCCAAACCGCTGCCAAACTGCAGGTGGTGTCTGATTAAACTGCTGACTCATCTCATTTTCTTTTTTTAAGCAGGGCTGCCAAAGTGAAGCAGGTAGATGTAAGTGAGCTCTTTTGGATCTCATGCTCTATTCTTTATTTCTTAGGTGAATTTATTAAGGCTCTGTATGAGTCGGATGAGAACTGTGAGGTGGATCCATCCAAGTGTTCATCCGGTGACCTCCCAGAGCACCAGAGTAACCTGAAGATGTGCTGTGAGCTGGCCTTCTGCAAAATCATCAACTCCTACTGGTGAGCTCTCTGAGAAAACGTGTCTGCCAAAGTATGAGAGAGGTTTATGTACACACTTCATTAAAGCACACATAAATCAGTCTTTTTTTTTTCTTTGCTGGTTCTTTGTTCCAACTTATTTTAAACTGACAATATCTAAAGACAAAAGACAACAGAGAAATAGATCTATTTATGTTTTATTTTAATAATTCAATTCAATTCAATTCAATTCAAGTTTATTTATATAGCGCCAAATCACGACAAGAGTCGTCTCAAGGCACTTCACATAATAAACATTCCAATTCACAGTTCATTAAGCCAATCAGAAATAATGTTTCCTATATAAGGAACCCAGCAAATTGCATCAAGTCACTGACTAGTGTCAGTGACTATACAGCAATCCTCATACTAAGCAAGCATGCAGCGACAGCGGAGAGGAAAACTCCCTTTTAACAGGAAGAAACCTCCAGAGAATCCTGGCTCAGTATAAGCAGCCATCCTCCACAACTCACTGGGGATCGAGAAGACAGAGCAGGCAGGCACAAAAATACACAAAAACCCAACAAACGTTTGTGTCGATTCATTTGAAAGAGACTTGATTTCAAATCAAAGGCAAAATGTAACACATTTTAAGATCTGGTGTTTTCTTAAAGAGCAAGTTCACAGAAAAATGGTTTAACTTGTTCTTTTTGAAATACAATCGGTCACTCTGAGTTTCACACGCATGCAGAGCATGAAAATGGTCTTCTACTCCTATTTCCTGCATTAACGGGGGAAACGCTCGGGTCACAAAATGCCACACAGATCTATGTCTCACTGAAAATTAACATTCATGGACTCACCCATTTCGGCTCTAGGTCGGGGACAACTGTTCATTTTCGCAGCCAGGAAACAGGAAAGCTCATCTCTGCTAGTAGAAGCTAACCGTTAGCATTAGCAACATGGCACAACTCCTTCAGGTTTGTGTTATTTGTGGAGATAAAACGTTAACGTTGCAGAAGAAACTGAGTCAAGCAGTCGTGTTGCTGCTAGCAGTCCAAATCCTGCCATTTTCTGTCCCCTCTTCTTTGGCTGACTTCCACTTCCTGAAACAGGAGCGCCAGAGCTTTTTTTTTTGTCCACAGAGAACGACTCCCAAGCCATTCATTCATACTAGAGACCACAGCTCATGTGCAGAAAAGTGAGAGAACGAGAGCTTTATATGAATTCCTAACAGCCTTTGTGTTTCTTGGCTCGGTTAAAAGACGATCTGATGATGAATAATCATGAAGTTATGGGTGTTTTGGTCTAATTCAGAAAAGAACATCCCGAATGAATTGTTACAACTTGAAGTATTTGTACAAACACCTGCAGTTTTAGCTCAAGGTCTTCCGTGTTTTCCGAGGCTGGTCGGAATGTCGAGTTGGACTGACACCGAAAGTAAGTCAGTTGTTGGCGTGCGCCCTTGATTCAAACACTACAGACAAGCACACACACCTGGTGTTGTGTCGAATAATGTTTATTAGACAAAAGCAGGTCCTGGTTGTCCATTAGTCAGGCTCCTCTGACCATCTGCTGGATCTGGTGCAGGACAAAAGCTTGGAGTGTCAAAGATAGATCTGGAGCTCGCTGATTCATTTCCAGCTTTATTGTGCAAACAAAGCTAAGGTTTAGACTCCCACGGCGTCTCTGATGAAGACGCCGTGGGAGACTAATCGTTAGATTTGTTTGCATAACAAAGCTGGAAATGAATCAGCGAGCTCCAGATCTATCTTTGATTTTGGCAGTTTTTACGTGTATCAGATTTAATTGCAAGTTTTGCACATAACTCTTGTTTAAGAATATCAGCTGTGTTTTCATAGCTGTAGTTTTGCCTCCTAACTACTAATAACCAGCTTGTCTTCCTCGTTTTTCATCAACAGCGTCTTTCCACGAGAACTGAAGGAGGTTTTTGCATCGTGGCGTCAGGAATGCAGCAGCCGGGGTCGACCAGACATCAGCGAGCGGTTGATCAGCGCCTCCTTGTTCCTGCGCTTCCTCTGTCCGGCCATCATGTCGCCCTCGCTTTTTAATTTGATGCAGGAGTATCCTGACGACCGGACGGCGCGCACACTCACCCTCATAGCTAAAGTCACACAAAACCTGGCCAACTTCACAAAGTGGGTGTTTGTTTCTGTGTCTAACGTCTTTTGTCATCATCTTTCCTTTACGGTCGGTTTTCCCTTGTTTGCCACCAGATTTGTTAACAAGGAGGAGTACATGTCATTTATGAACCAGTTCCTGGAGCACGAGTGGACCAACATGCAGCGTTTCTTGCTGGAAATCTCCAACCCAGAGACAATCTCCAACACGGCGGGCTTCGAGGGCTACATCGACCTCGGCAGGGAGCTGTCGACCTTGCACTCGCTCCTCTCTGAGGTGGTCTCCCAGAAGGACCAGGTACTAAAGAATAAACCTCATTAACTGGAAGGGTTTCTGTGTGTTTTCACTGGCTTTGGGGTGTAAAGTATGCTTAGACTACACTGGGATGTTTGCTCCACAACAATCAATGATTCATTATTTCGTTACATAAGGAGCGGAGAGCTGTGTAAAGCCTCGGGAGCCGATCGAAGATTATCGCTGCCTTTACAAAGACGTTTACATTAGCTTTGCATGCAGCTGGAAAGCCGGTGGTAGCAGATCATCCAGCTCTTGCAACACCACTGTTCAATAATTCAGAAATCAGAGTCTGACTGATACTCAGTCCCTCACACAGACCATCCTGCTGCATTATTTATCATGTTGTCTGAGTAACAGTTTTGATTGCGTCGTGTTGGGGAAATAACTTTTAACTGCCCTAAAAATATAAAATTCACTCTGATAAAAGTTAAGTAAAACCTAATTAAGGCCTCGTTCACATCGATCCAGAGGAACATCTTGTTTAATTTGCGTGTCTCTTCACAGAGCACAGTCTCCAAGCTGGGTCCTCTGCCCAGAATCCTGAGGGAGGTGAACACAGCGCTGTCCAACCCGTCCTATGTCCAGATGACACCTGGACAGTTCTCAGAACCTGTGGGCTCCTCGCCTCCCGCAGAGGCAAGCTGCAGCATCTCCACTGGCCTGCAGAAGATGGTGATAGACAACGACCTCTCGGGGTAAGAGATGTTAATGCTGTCATCAGTTAGATCAAACAGATGCACCTGATGTCTGTGAATAATCGAAAAATAAAATAAAATAAAGGAATTTTTCCAGAAGAGATTAATATTTTCTTCTGCTTGAAGAAAAAAAAACTTAAACTTTCTGCATTGCAGAATGGGTGATATAATAATTTCCTATTGCTAAAAGCAGTGTTTGTTTTGTATTGTTTTAAGGGCTGCATTCCACTTACCTCTTTTTTCTTCTCCCCTCTACTGGTTGAAAGTGGAATTACAACTGTGGTAAACAACCCTCCTTGAACCGTCACCTTATCGTGGTGGAGGAGTTTGAGTGCCCTAATGATCCTAGGAGCTATGTTGTCTGGGGCACTTTGTGCCCCTGGTAGGGTCTCCCATGACAAATTGGTCTTAGATGAAGGGTGAGACAAAGAACGGTTCAGAGGATCTTTCATGGATGTGAATTCAAAGAGTCGGAGTACCCGGCTCGGAGGGTTACCGGGGTCCCACCCTGGAGCCAGGCCTGGGGTTGGGGCCCGTGAGCGAGCACCTGGTGGCCAGGCTTTTGCCCATGGGGCCCGGCCGGGCCCAGCCCGAACCGGATGCATGGGCTCATCCAACTGTGGACCCACCACCTGCAGGAGGAACATGAAGGGTCCGGTGCAATGTGGATCGGGTGGCAGACCGAAGCGGGAGCTTTGGCGGTCCGATCCTCAGACAAGGAAACTGGTTTTTGGGACATGGAACGTCACCTCGCTGGCGGGGAAGGAGCAGGAGCTTGTGGCAGAGGTTGAGCGGTACCGGCTAGATATAGTCGGACTCACCTCGACACATAGCATTGGCTCTGGAACCCAAGTCCTTGAGAGGGGTTGGACACTCTCCTTTGCTGGAGTTGCTCTGGGTGAGAGGCGGAGGGCTGGCTTTTTGTTAGCCCCGAGACTCTCTGCCTGTGTGTTGGGGTTTACCCCGGGGAAGGAGAGGGCAGCTTCCCTGCACCTTCGGGTCGGAGAACGGGTCCTGACTGTTGTTTGTGCTTATGGGCCAAATATCAGTTCAGAGTACCCACTGTTTTTGGAGTCCCTGGGACGAGTGCTAGATAGTGCTCCATCAGGGGACTCCATTGTCCTGCTGGGGGACTTCAGTGCTCACGTGGGCAATGACAGCTTGACCTGGAGGGGTGTGATTGGGAGGAACGATCCGCCTGATCTGAACTCGAGTGGTGTTTCATTATAGGACTTCTGTGCAAGCCGCAGTTTGGCCATAACGAACACCATGTTCAAACATAAGGATGCCCATCGGTACACTTGGTACCAGGGCAGCCTAGGTCGCAGGTCGATGATAGACTTTGTAGTCGTATCATTTAACCTGCGGCCGTATGTTTTGGACACCTGAGTGAACAGAAGAGCGGAGCTGTCAACTGATCACCACCTGGTGGTGAGTTGGATCAGATGGCAGGGGAAGATGCCGCGTAGACCTGGCAGACCCAAACACATAGTGAGGGTCTGCTGGGAACGCCTGGCAGAAGAACCTGTCAAGACGGTCTTCAACTCCCACCTCCGGCAGAGCTTTGACCGCATCCCGAGAGCAGTGGGGGACATTGACTCCGAGTGGGCCTTGTTCCACTCTGCGATTGTTGAGGCGGCTGTTGCTAGCTGTGGTCGCAAGGTGGCCGGTGCCAGTCGTGGTGGCAACCCCCGTACCCGCTGGTGGACACCAGAGGTTCGGGGAGCCGTCAGGCTGAAGAAGGAGGCCTACAGGGTGTGGCTGGTCTGTGGGACTCCAGAGGCAGCAGACAGGTACCGGATAGCCAAGCGGAGTGCAGCAGTGGCTGTTGCCGAGGCAAAATCTCGGGTGTGGGAGGAGTTTGGTGAGGCCATGGAGAAAGACTATCAATTGATTCCAAAGAGGCTCTGGCAAACTGTCTGGCACCTGAGGAGAGGGAGGCAGCAACTCACTCACACTGTTTAAAATGGGGAAAGAGAGCTGCTGACGTCAACTGGGGCTGTAGTCGGGCGGTGGAAGGTATACTTTGAGGAGCTCCTCTTCCTCTTGCGTTTTTAAATGACAATCAGTGAACTGAAAAAGCTAACCGCTAGCCTTTATATGAGCTACCCGCACAGTAAACTCCCCCTCCTGTGCCTGTTTGATCCACGAGGTTAAGTGTAGTTTCTGGTCAGCAGAGGGCCACAGAGTGCTGTTTGATGTGAAGCTGCTCAATGCTCTGGTTCAAGAACCACTGAAACCTGTTTGAAAGCAATAGCTTTAAGTGTTAAAAACTCTTATGTTATGTCATAATTCTAAACCAGGAAGTACCTGACCGTGTTCTCATTTTAAATCTAAAACCATGTGGGTGTGCTGATTGTTGTTCTCTATGACCAGAGTTGTAACAACCTGTTTCCCTGCTCGTTATGCGCTCAAACAACATGTTCACTAATAGAGGTAATAAAGTATTATGTGTTTAACTGATTTTATGAGACATAAACTAGCAGAAAATAAAATAAAACTGTTTATCGCTGCAGCTGTTTGCACTCTTTATGCATGAGGCAGCCATATTGAAATTTGAGGTGAAGATTCCCAGATTTTCCAGCTTCAGGGGAATTCTAGTTGGTTTTCCGCCTCTAAACCGTTTTTCTGGTTGTGAGTCCACATGTGACCATCAATCTGAACCCGATCAATCTGGCCGAGAGCCAATCACAAGCTGATTGATCTGTGACTGTGTGAATGAACGATTGCTGGGAAGACCAGGTTGGACGTCCGGTTTGCATTAGTGCATTAGTGCTGAGTGGAGTGGCAGAAGCTTTGACTTGTTTATCTTTAGAGGATGATTCATGTCATACTGGGAGGTTGTGGTCATCCTCTACAGCCGAAGATCCTTTTTCCCAGGAAGTTTTACAAAATTCTGCTTGACAAAAACATACAAACAGCACTGGACCTTAAAGGTACACCACATAAGCATCAAACGTGTCACGTTTGTCTTCTTAATGAAGAAAAGCTGTATTTTTTTTGCTAAGCAAATTAAAACATTATAGGTTCCCACAATTCTGTCTAAAATAAAACTTCTTTAGAGCTGCAGTTGTTACAGAAAAAATAAATCCTTTAAAAATACAGAAGATGATTAGAGCGAACTTCCAAGAATTCTGAGAAAAAGTCAAAATTCTGAAATTAAAGCCAGAATTTTTTTTTCCTTCTGTGAAAATCTACTAAAAAGAATTTTGTAATGTTTGTAAAGATGCTGCTTTTTTCTTATTATTAGGTTATGAAAGTTTGAAGAAATGTAAAACTTTTGCAAAAGGAGAATGCATACGTGGGATGCTGATATTTGTTGAAAATTAGGAAGCAGAAAAACAAATTATTCTAAATATTTTACTGGTGCTTTTTGAGTCATTCTGTTGTGGAAATTCAAAGCAATTATTGCCTGAAAAAAACTGAAAAGCAAATATTTTTATTTTATTTTATTCATATTTAAAAGCGTGTGCAAGTTTTATTTTAGACCTAACGTATTAAGAACCACAGTGGATGGTCCAAATAGTCCTTTGTGGCTCCAGAGCTGCAGGCTGCAGAGCCCTGGTCCAACCACAATACTAGATTTCTATTTTCTTTTGACTTTTTTTTGATGAAGGTTTCATACATTTTCTAGATTCTCCAAACTTTCACCTTCAAAACCAAACTCTTCAGGTCTGAGAGTGCGTCCCAGACGTGCTGCATGCAGGAAACGGATAAGAAGCTAATAAAAACAACACGCTGTGAATCGTTTTACTCATAGTCAAGTTATTGACAGCAGCCAGACTCCTAACCAAATCTAGCAGACGAGCTCACATCACTCCAGTTTTACAGTCCCTCCACTGGCTCCCGGTAGAATTTAGAATACAGTTTAAAGTTTCAGTCCTGACCTATAGAGCTCTTAACAACCAGGCTCCAAGCTACCTATCTGAGCTTTTATCCCCACACATCACCTCTCGGAACCTCAGATCCACGTCTGAAAGCCTCCTGGCTGTTCCTCGAACCAGACTGAAAACCAAAGGGGACAGGGCCTTTCAGACTATTGCACCCAGACTTTGGAACAGTCTACCTTCAAATCTCCGTCTCTCTAACACTGTAGAGGTCTTTAAAAACCATCTAAAAACTCACATTTTCATCCAGGCGTTCCCTCCCTAAATGTTCAAAAAGATGGCTTTGTTCGGATTCACACCTTCTCTTTGTTTATACTCATGATTTTATTTTCTATTTTATCACTGCTATTGTTTTTCTGATGTTTTTATTGGTTAGAGGTATTTGCCCTGATCTTTATCATGTTGTACAGCGCTTTGTGATTTATATCTGTGAAAGGCGCTATATAAATAAACTTTTACTTACTTACTTACTTACTTATTAATCGTTGGTTAAAATGTTGACTATTTTAATTTTACCTGTCTTTTTTTTCTGGAGCAGCTTCAGGTTAATTTAATAAATTCTTATTATAAAACAAATGATGAACTTTCCCTTTTTTAAAACATATATTTGGAGAAAATACTTAATTATTTGTTTTGCTGTACTAAATTACAAACTGAATTTATGAAAATGAATGATAAGTAATAGGCTTAGGTTGTATTTTAACCATACAATGAGTTGTTTGTCATGCTCTAAATCTCTAATTACTAAGTCAAGAAAATTATATAAAATTACATTTTTGGTAAACCTACATTTTCTGCTTTATTTGCTTTATTTTTCCTTTGGCATGACTACAGTTAAATGCGGCTAATTTAAATAATTTAAACTCCGAAATAAATGAAATAACAATTTTAAGTGTCTGTATGTAATTTAGCTTTAGGTTTTGTATTTTTCTTTAGTGACACCAACGGTCTGTCACTGCTCAGCGCGAGTGACCAAACTCTCAGTATCTCACCATCAGTTCTGTGTTAATGTTTAACATAAAGGTGAGATTGCGAGAGCATCACCTCCGCTTGTTTACATCAGCCTCCTGAAATCTTTTTTCACCTCCCCGTGGACGGATCCGTGCACGCACGTCGTCTTACCGCGCTCATCTCCCGTCCTCCTGCTCCCTGACAGAACAACGACAAGGAGACACTTAAAAAGATTAACATGAAAGCTCAAGGAGGAGATGAGCAGTACTAAACACACCGTCGTGGCGAAGCAGTCATGCAGATGCTGAGGCACCAGAAGAGACAGGAAGTGAGTCAGACGGCTGCGATCATCTGGCTCCGGGATCAGTAGAACTAATTAACTACCAGCTCGGTACAACCTGATGTCAGAACCTGCTATCGTTTCTTTATCACAATAACTGCTTTCTCGTGTGTGTGTGTGTGTGTGTGTGTGTGTGTGTGTGTGTGTGTGTGTGTGTGTGTGTGTGTGTGTGTTTGGCGTATTGACATCAGCGAGCTATGAGACTGAAATTCAAATGAGCCCAACATTCTCCGCTAATTGCTTCTCATCCACTAAGCAGTGACGTGAGAAGCAGAAGAAAGGAAAGACGCCGCCACGATCGAGGACAGGGAGAAATTGAGCAGAATAAAGAGGAGAACCGGGTCGAAAGAGGGAAGGGTAAAGGAATTTAGTCAGATGGACAAAGTGAGAGAGGACAGCAGAGCGTGATGGGAATGATAGATTAGATGAGTCACATCTGTCAGTGAACTTCTTCTGGCAATCGGGGCTCCATCTGCCAGCGATGGAGACGTGAGAATGAAGCCCTCAATGCACGTCTGTTGTGTTCGCTTTTAAAAAGACTCTATTACACTTTTCTCCTTTACAGGGTATCTGCAGGTTTAAGGCTTATTTAAGACTTTAAGACCTTTTTTTAAGGCCACTTAGACCAAATTTAAGCTATTTTTATAATTAAATTTAAGCTTTATTTTCCAGCTATTGCCTGGAACCGGTGCTAACCGCGTTGCAAACATGGGATTAGCCATCCAGTTACCATTAAACTTGCACTTCCCCATGGCGCAAGCTCCCACTAGCTTAACCAGCTAATGTGCTCATCTAAAAGTAGCCCCATTTCACAAGCAACTGAATGTGTACGGTTCCGCTTACGCCAACATCATACACAAAAAATGCTGAACTAACTAGAAATTCATGAAAATTTCATAGAAATAAAATAATCTTGTTTATTGGGTCTTTGGTAATTTAAGACCTTTGGAAACTGTATTTAAGGATTATTTTAAGGCCTTAAATTTGGAAAAGCTAATTTAAGACTTTTTAAGACTTTTTAAGGACCCGCGGATACCCTGCTTTATTCCTCGGGGGTTTTAAGTCTGTCGCTTAAATCGTTTTTTGTATTTACTGAGTTTTATTGAAACTGAGAAAGCACAGAAATCAAAACAAACTTCTTCAGAGGCAAACGAAATTAACCTGCATCATAACGTATCCCTTTGTATTTTAACTTAACATACAATGAAGCCTTCAGATTGAAATCGTAACAATGTAACGATGTAGCCCCGCGTAATGTAACACATTGTGTAATGATCCATCGAGTAAGACGTTCTATTGTTGCATATTCTAATAATTCAGGTCACTGTACAGGTGCACAATTGTCGTTGCCCTCGTGTAAAGACAGCTCTGATAAGGGAGATAGTAACGAAGGATATAAAAATCACAATAAAATCTTTTTGGTATTGTTATTTTAAACATGTACACACGTTTCGCACAGAGCGGCAATAAAATTCTGTCTGCATAGCCGCCTTTAGAGCTGCTGAAAACCCCAGAGTCACGCAGAGGGCGAGACGAGTTGTCCAGGACATGTGGACAGCATCTTCCTCTCATACAAAGAGCCCAACCAGCCTCAAACCGGTTTGTTCCTGTCCCACTCTGAGCTCTCAGCAGAGCTCAGCATATAGCACGACTAAAGTTGTTACCGTGCCAACAAAAACCCTTAACGTAGTCCTGCTCACAGCAGCGGACCTCAGTCCTCTCAGTAGATGGACGTGTCTTTGGACCCACCTGTACAGGACATCTGTGATTCTTAACTGGAAACGACAGGGCCTGCTATCGACCGAAGGCAATCAGCATCGTTTTTGTTTTACTGGTGTTTACTGGAGGTGGTTTCTTCCTCACCAGTTAACAGCGATAACCTGCCTGTTCTCCAGTCGTTTCCTCTTTGTTAAAATCCAGCCATGGCTGTGATTTCTGAGAGTTTCTGAAGGTGACGGCTGTGTGAGTAGATGTTAATGTCCGTAGTGTACAGGGTGAAAAGTAGGTGGCAGAACACAACTCTCACATCAAGTAGTATTACATCATTTTGTATTGAATGGGATGCAGGGTCAAGAAGTCCAAAGGTTCATTTCCTCCCCATTATTATAGCTGATTAAGACCTAATGAATCATATTTCTACTCTGTTTCTTTCAGACTGGTTGACTTCACCAGGTTACCCTCGCCTACCCCAGAAAATAAGGACCTCTTCTTTGTGACAAGGAGCTCGGGTGTCCAGCCTTCCCCTGCACGCAGCTCCAGCTACTCTGAGACAAACGAGCCGGAACTGGGCATGACAAATGGCAGCAAGAGTTTGTCTATGGTGGACCTCCAGGACCCTCGCAATCTGGACGTTGGGACTGGTCCCAGTACCTCAGATGCTCTGGGTGAAGGCCAAGCTTCTGATGGAGGCTGGTCGGCCAGAGTCCCACAGGGCAACATCCCGGGAGGTCCCACCTTGAGGCGGCCGGGCCAGACTCCCACTACCCCGGCAACAGAAAGCACTCCGGGCCGACCCGCCCAGCTGCTTGCTCCACTGTCCTTCCAGAACCCAGTTTACCAGATGGCAGCTTGCTTGCCCGTGTCCCCTCGAGGAATGAATGACTCTGGGTCAGAGTGCCACAGTTCAGTTAGTTCCCATAGCAACAATGAGGATGGGCCAGCAGGAGGGAAGCAAGCATTTATGAACCACGGAGGTGGAGGAGGTGGGGGAAGCAGCGGTGACGAGTACACCAGGCGTTCGGGGGAGTTCAATCGCCGACAGCTGTCCCTCACGGAGACGCAGCACCAGCCCGGCGTCCCCAGACAGAGCAGCGCTGGCCCACAGCGGAGGATAGACCAACCTCCCCCTCAGAGCGTCACTCGAGGCCGTACTCCTCCAAACCTGCTCAGTGGTGGACCCTACCCCCGCCCGTCCTCTGGGAACATGATGACGTCATCACCCGACTGGCCCACCGGCGGGGCTCGGTTACGACAGCAGTCCTCATCTTCTAAAGACAGCCCCGAGACCAAGCAGAGAGTTCAGCACAAACAGGTATGGGCCACACTAGTGTGTGAGCGTTGTTCCAGACAGCCAACCAGAACTGCCTCGGTATGTAATTACAAGAAATTACAGTGATATTACAGAGCGGCCATTTATGCAGAGCATGTTGAGAAAAGGCAGCGTGGGTGTGCTTGCAGACTCAGCACAATGTACCCTAATGAACTCCAGTCACAGTGTGTGTAATAACAGTCATTTGCATGGAGGCAGCTCGTCACCCCACCACTGTTTTACTGGTCGTGTGTAATGAGATGGCGATGAGGGCAATTAGTGTCTTATTAACTAAACATATATGTGTCCAGGCGACAGAAAGCACAGAATACCAACACATATTTCACATTTTAGTTGTGACTAAAGGACACATGCAGGTGGATCTGCTCTGGGCCATAGAGGGTAATTATAAAACACTTGGCATGCGTTGCTCTTGGTTACGGACTGATGGGGAGAATGTCTACATAGTAACAACAATGTCTGCTTTCAGATGGGATGTAAACCTGTTTCTAACTCTTAATCTCCAAAATGATGCAAACCAATACCAATGCATGCTGGGTTACCCCACATAAAAAAAGAAAAACTAAGTAATTTTAGGTTTCAAAGTTCTACTTCTTCACAAGGTGCCAAACGAACAAAGGTATCTCAAAAAGGAAATCTCAGATCTGAAACATTTTGTTACGATGACTGAGACGAGAAGTAGCTGAAGAGTTTGGTGTATTATATGTGTGAGGTACGTAAAAGTCGCAGCATCAATCAAATGTTATTTTATAGTGCCTTCCACTGCCTTTACAGAAGCCCAAGAAGCTGAACGTAATATAAAAACAACAAAAGAGCAAAGAGACCACAAGACAGATTAAAACTGCATAAGAGTGACTAAAATAACAAAACTGATACGATAAAAGACAAAAAAAATCTAAAAATCCATTTTACAGTGATCCCTCGTTTATCGCGGTAGTTGCGTTCCAGACCTGGCCGCGATAGGTGAAAATCCGCGAAGTAGGGACACCATATTTACAGTATTTAACAGGTACGTATTCAGTATTCAGACTTTTAAAACCCTCCCTATACATAGTTCTGTATTTTTACTTGGTTTTTTTATAGTTTTATTACAAAAAGTGCATTTTATGATGAAATTGATGAAAAATACAGGAATTTGTTGATATTTCGCATAGAAAAATACCGCAAATCGGTGACAAATACCGCGAATCGGCGAATTTCCCTTTAATAAGGCTTCAAAGAAGAAATCCGCGAAGTCGTGAATCCGCGATAAACAAACCGCGAAGTAGCAAGGGATCACTGTACATAAAAGCCAAACGATAAAAACAAGTCATCAAACGACTCTTAAAGACCTGCAGTGATGAGCTCGTTCCATGTAAACCAATACTGATTACATTTTATGGCCAACATTGGACATCCAGTGTTGGGAACGTTACTTTAAAAAAGTAATTAGTTATAGTTACTGATTACTTTGTCAAAAAAGTTACTCGGTTACTAACTGAGTTACGAGATTATACAAGTAACTAATTACCAAGAAAAAGAACTACTTAGTTACTTTTTTCATTAAAGAATGAAAGAAAAGTGGGTTCCCCTCTTAATTAAACTTACTTAATTTACAAAAAAATACTACAGTAGTGAAATATAAATGACTAATGACTGGAACATAATAAAATGTATGTCCAAATGTTTTTTATAAACCTGAATAATTATAAATAAATAAGCACTTAACAGGAGGAACTACTAACAGGAACATTACACTAATCTAGACTATTAAAAGGTCACTGTGTGATATTTAACAAGACCCCAATCAGCTAAAACTTAAAATTGCAAATAGAAACACCTGTAAAGGTTCCCGAGCCTTTAAATGGTCTCTCAGTCTAGTTAAATTACAGATCAGAAACAGGTTACAGCTGGATGATCGAAGGCAGAAGATGAACAGGTGAGCGGACCTTCGAGACGTCCCGCTGTCACGCTAAGAAGGGCACGGCTGCAGATCCACACCTGCAGCAGTGAATCTGCGGGTCTGCAGCTGTAACTATTCATCACGTCTACCTCATTCTTCACGGGCTGTGATGCGCTTGGATGAAAACATCTACCTCTTTAGCTCCTGACCAGCTGATGACAGCTTCAACACACCGCGCTGCTTAACAGAAACGACGTTTTGATAAAAAAGACGGTAATTAATTTGTTTGCTCGTTACAGAAAATAATGTTAACGCGGTTATTTTAAACGGCGTTATTCCCATCACTGCTCTGTTGGGTCTACAGCATGCAGTGACGGAGACAGGAAGAACACTGAGGGTCTCCACCCACCCGGCCAATCACCATCGTGTTTGTAAGTGCGTTACCGACACCTCTCTCTCCCTGGCTGCAGCTGAAGTGTGGCGGTCAGAAAGCCTCACACTGTTGCTCAACGTTCGACAAGCACATAGTAACGCACAACGTTCCGTCCCCAGTAACGTAACGGTTGCAACAGTGGGAAAAGTAATTAATTAGATTATTCCATTACCTAATAAAGAACGCCGTTACACTTAAACGGTGTTACTCCCAACACCGCGGACATCAATATTTTTACTCCCAAGTAATTCTTGTTCTTGACAAACCAAACTAAACTTAATTATTAATCAGCCTCGGCAGAAAAAGTGGTGAGAAGTACATCTATCTAAAGCAGGGGTGTGCAAACGTTTCCAGACGAGGGGCGAATTGACCAAGCTTAAAGTCCAAGTGGCCCCCATAAAAGGGGCTCAAAAACACAAACTTTACTTTATCGCAATTTTATTCATTTGCATAAGGAAAAATCTGAACATAAAAATGTTAGAAAGTTTCGATCTATATCGCCTACTGGGGAGACAAATATGATTATTTTAGAAATTTACGTAAGAGGCCAAAGAAAACCACCCAGAGGGCCACAAGTGGCCCCAGAGCCACACTTTGGACCTAAAGGTTTAGGAACAGCTTATCGTGGCTTTAGGTTTTTTTTTTTTTTTTTCATTTTTCCAGTCAGGTTATTGTAAAAACATTTATGCTCAATCAGAAACAAACTGTTTTGTTTTAAATTAGAAGGCCTCTTTAAACAATAGCTCAGAAGTCCGATCTCAGCTGTTGTAGATCTCTCTTTACAACTTTGTTCTGACGGGGTTGGTGAGCTAACAGCAAACCTGAGCCGGGCTAAGACCAAAGTGGATTGTGAGCGTCTGTAAAAAAATTTTTTATCGTATTTTCAGCAACATGTGCTACGTCTAGTTTATAAACTGCCTTCAGTTTCACTTTATTTGGTTCTTTAAATGATTCAAAACCCCCGGCTCCCCGCTGTGGTTAACTGCGTCCGCTGGAGCTTGCCAATCTAAATATCATTCAATGCTAAGTCCACAGAGATGCAAACATCTGTAACGGACCTTTTGCATGCACCATAATTATTTTTAAACTGCTTTTATCTTAAGCCAGTGGTGAGCATCCTTACTAGCATTAGCCATTAGCTCATCAGTCTGTTGATACACAAAACCACACTCACACAAATATTGGATTTGTTTGGTTAAAAAAGTATTTCTCATCAGTAGACAAGTGCTAGTTTGAGGCTCATTCACGTCGATTTTATGCAAACATATTCAGCGTTTTGTTCTGTTGTGGCACTTTTTAGAGCCTGATTCAGATAGTTTTGGTTTTCAGAGAGCCTCGGGTGCAGATGAGCGTGTTGGGCTTTAGAAATCTTCTCTTTTGCACTCATGAGCTGTAAAAGCCCAGAGCCATGCCTCCACTCAGCCGTCCATCCGTCTGTCAGACAGAAACACGACGCGGCCCAGGCGTCTCGGCCTCCGCGCTGATTTCTGCTCACTCTTTTAATCGCAGGTCCACGCTGCAACAAGGACGCTCTGGCTGCTTTGAGTCAGACGTGTTTAAAAGTGTGTGTATCCAGGTGTGTGTGCCACTGTGTGAGTTTGAAGACAGGAGTGTGTATCCATTCCACCTGCTGCTTTCAATCCACATGAGTTGGTGCATTTCAAGCTTATTTCTGTTGTTTCTGTGGTGTTATTGCAAACCTCCCCTCCTGCCCCTCCCCTGTCACTTGCACCCAGCTCATGTGTGTGCATGTGTGTGTGTGTGTGTGTGTTGATTTTACTAGGCCCCCTCCCCAGTGAACCCCAGTGCGCTGGACCGCACAGCAGCGTGGCTTTTGAATATGAATGTGCTGTATTTAGACCATGAGGGGATGGAGCCCGAGTCACTGAGATACAGAGACGATCTAACTGAGGTGGAGAAGGTAACCTGACATCCAATTTTCCACCTATAGCTACTCCTCTTCTCACAAACCACCCCAACCTTTAGCCCTGACACACACACACTCCCCCTCTCTCTTTCTCTCTCTCTCTCTCTCTCTCTCTCTCTTCTTCGCCTCTCATAAGTCACCTCATACAGCGCACGGAGAAAACCTCTACGTCTAATTAACTTGTATCTTTTTCCCACTTTATTTTGGTTTCTGAGAATTGTTACACAGCCAGGTTAAGGGTTGAACATTCATTTAAATAATAAAAGTAAAAAGAAAGGAATTTTTCAGCCGTTTTGAAATGTGTATTTAGTGTAAAAGCCATAAAAGTGTGTTTTCAAGGTTTTAAACATGCATTTACTTTAAATAAAGTACTTTAAAGTGACATTCTTACATGGGACTAAATGATATTATGAGCATAGATTTACTGTTTGTGTGTAAATCATCATCACTGCTGGGAAATCTTGAACGCTCACCTTTGGTAATGACACAAGATTCTGTTTAACAGAGTAAAGTTTATAAAATAATGTTGCATAAATCACTAGAACATGTAGAAGAATGGATCGGTTATAGAAGGCCAGAAAGCAGGGGTTCATCTAGAAGCTATCTATGGGTAAGGCGGTGGTTACTTAAGGCGTTTACACAAAAACACACCAAAATGGACAAAATAATCCCGGTTTGCGTGTTACAAGAATAATGTCTTCACTAACAAGTTGGCTGAACATTTAATTCACATTTTCTTAAATAAACTGCAGTAAAAATTTAACCATCCTTCACCTTTTCTTCCATCCAAAAAGTAAACTTCAAAGCTCATTGCGTGTGTGTGTGTGTGTGTGTGTGTGCATGTGTGTGTGTGTGTGTGTGTGTGTGCGTGTGTGTGTGTGCATGTGTGTGTGTGTGCGTGTGTGTGTGTGTGCGTGTGTGTGCGTGTGTGTGTGTGTGTGCGTGCGTGTGCGCGTGTATGTGCATGTGTGCATGCGTGCGTATGTGTGTGTGCGTGTGTGTGTGTGCATGTGTGTGTGTGTGTGCGTGCGTGTGCGCGTGTATGTGCATGTGTGCGTGCGTATGTGTGTGTGTGTGTGTGTGTGTGCGTGCGTGTGTGTGTGCGCGTTTGCGTGCATGTGCATATGTGCTTGTGTGTGTGTGTATGTGTGTGTGTGCATGTGGGCGTGTGTGTGTGTGTGTGTGCGTGCGTGCGTATGTGTGTGTGTGCGTGCGTGTGTGTGTGCGCGTCTGCGTGCGTGTGCATATGTGCTTGTGTGTGTGCATGTGTGTGTGTGTGTGCGTGTGTGTGTGTGTGTGTGTGCGTGCATGTGTGTGTGTGCGTGCAAGTGCGTGTGTGTGTGTACATGTGTGTGCATGTGTGTGTGTGCGTGCGCGTGTGTGTGTGCGTGCGTGTGTGCGTGCGTGTGAGTGTGTGTGAGGGGCAGAACGATGCTTTCGGCTGCTTCTTCTCCTGCCTCCCGTTCTCTGCTCCGTTGCTGTGCCTCCATGCTTTGGTTGGCTGCCACATGCTTCCCCCCTCCTTGCTTTTTTTCCATCTATAATGAGAAGAAACCTGTCATCCTAACATAGCACATGCGTTATGGAAGCTGCAGCAGCCCTGGGAGGGAGAGCAACCAAAGAAGGCAATGCCTGGAGTCTTAACAAAGAAACCATAGCCACTTTAAAATAGCAGGAACGGCGTCTACAGCAGCAGACCTGAGCTGTTGCTAATGGCCTCTACGGTCTTTAGTTACTCTGTGTGTCTGTTATAAAATACTCGTTTTGTCTCAGCTTTGCCTAAACTTGTATAGAATCCAGATTTCTTATATAATATTCATCAGTGTTCCATGCTGTAAACAGGTAAACAAAACTGCTCTGTGTTTTAAAAAAAGAACTACAGCATGGAATTAGACATACTACACAGCAAGAACACACCTAAGATATTCATCAGTGTTGTTTGAAAATACATATTTCTAACTGAAGAGGATAATTTTTTTTATTTTTGTATTTGCAGGTTTCATTGTGCATTGTTTCATTTTAGATTTTGGTGCTTACTTCTAACTTAAATGCAAGGAAAATGTTTATGTCTTGCACACATTACCGTAATTCTAATACTTACATTTAATGTAACTTAGATTAGTGCTGCACAATTTCATAAAGTTACCGAAGTATCAAAGTTGCAAAAGATTCCACTAAATTTCAGACGCAAACGGCTTGCCATAAGAATCTGCATGGAGTAATCAGGTGGACCCCCAGTAGCTGCCTAAGTTTATCGTATGTGTTGACGCAACACATTGTACGGCTACCACATGTCAGCCTTGAATGAAATGAATGATCAATTATCAGTTTCATGAGTAAAGAAGAGACGTGTAAAAAAAATTAAAAAAACAGTGCTATTTCTAGAGCTAAAGCTAAAGCTGTCTGGGTTGTGACCGTGACTTTGTGACAAGAACAATATTTGCGAAGAAGTTTCTAAAATGTCTCAAACCGTTCTCAAGGCACCTCAGATTTTTTTCTTAGCAAGTCGTAATTTCTTAAAGTTTAACTTGGTAAATTTTGCACGAAACCTTTAAAGATATTGGCCAGAGGCAAAATTCCTTTGAATGGCATGCGTAAAGAAGTATTACAACCTCAGATGAAAAAGGTTTTTTTGGATTTTCACGACTATTGGATGTTTTTGACTGGCGCGGCAAAAACAGAAACCAGCTTCTGGTCTAAGCCCTGGGCAGCTGGTGACGTTTCACAAGGAGGTCTACAGAGTCAGCTGTAGTGAACAATCCCCGACTCTGGTGTTTCTGTGTTAGCGTTATAGCAGAGAACAATGTGTCATCAGTCAGATGTAGCTTCTGAAGCCTCTATAGTAGTTTTTTTCTCTGGGATACGGCAACGAGAACAGATATTGGATTACCGGAGAAGTTCAACCGAACTCCAAACCCTGCTTGCTGGATATCACTACCGGAGATCTAGGCATGTTTTGTCCCGCGACCCGATTAGGACATGTGCTGCCAGCTTTACCGCTGCGTGTATATATATATATATATATATATATATATATATATATATAGATATAACTCAGGAAAATTTAACCGATTATTTACTAGAATAAATCTTTCTGATGCTGAAGTAACTTACTAGCTCGGCTTGTTTGCACTAATCCAGGATTAATCCAGGCACGAAGGTTATACCGGTCCCAGGAGGATCTGTTGTTGAAATATGGGGATGTGTGTGTGTGTTAGGGGTTTTATGAACTAGTCGACTAGTCAACTTCACGGCTCTGTAGTGACTTTTTATGCCTGTCATCGACTAGTCGCTGTCACGTGATAATGACAAGATGCAGTCCTCAGAAAAGACAGCAGGTGATGAGCCCCTGCGTCGGGAGGCGGAGGCGACGCGCTGTGCCAGAGCGTCGGTACTGACACCCGCCGTAAAACGGACATTTAACCAAACTGTGACCTTTTCCCTCTTGCAATTTTACCTTCCCCTCACCCCCATCCTAATCTTAACCAGCTTGCGCATGCAAAGCTCTGATCGTTGACGCGCTCCATCTGCGTCCTGAGCACCGCCAAATCAGGTGTCACCACCTCAAAAACAAACTAAACACGCAATCGTTCATGTCGGCTCATTTCCTTTAATGTTTTCTGTCTGTTATTTGTGCGTGATGCGTTTCGCTGCTGCGGAGCGAGGCGCATCACCGCGGTCCAAAATTCCACTATCTCCGCTCCGGCACGAACTCCGCAGCAAAAACGGTCCCGTTGGCCAGCGAGCAGCGGCACTCCGCTGTTTTTGCGGTCGGTAGATCTTTTAGAACTGCAGTTCAAAGGTAACTCATAAGGTGAATATAAATGAACCCAGGTAGCAGTTTTTCTTTAGGATTGGGAGGAGATGCAGGAAGATAATAAACAGACAGGACAGAAAAATAGTCAAATAAAAACAAGTTAGTTTTTGCACCTGGTGGTTGCAACAAACAGACACCACTGAAGGTAATCAGAAGTGAGGAACAGAAAATGAAATAATTATTTTAATGTTTAGAGCAGCAGGAACTCTGAGAGGCTGCAGACGCATCAGTGAGTTTGCGGCCGCTGCGCAGGGGGAGGGGGGAGAGGGCTGAAGTAGGAACAGTATAACTACTGTTGTTAAAAGAGATGTGTTAACTTAGAAAATGTGGGCGCAATTTTAATTGTCAAAAACTCCAGTCGACTTTTAAAAAAAATTAAGTCATGCAACCCCTAGTGTGTGTGTGTGTGTGTGTGTGTGTGTGTGTGTGTGTGTGTGTGTGTGTTGTAGCTTTCCCAAATAACTTGTTTTTTCCTTGCCCAAGCTAACACAGTTAGCAGTGTTGCTGCAGTCATGGACTGTTAGAGTCCAGAAGTACCGGTGCGGTTCCAGATGGACTTATAGATGTAGGTTATTATTTTAGATCAGACCTGTGTTATTTACAAATGCTTGTAGGACACGGACATATGGTTCAGTCCATGTTTATGAAAGTAAACAAAATACCGTTATTCACAATACTAGCAACATCAGCTACTTTGTGGCCCCCAGACTCTGGACCTCTCTCCGCCTGAGCCTGAGATCAGTGGACTCAGTGGTCTCCCTTAAAAAGCAGCTGAAAACTCCCCTGTTCAGGCTTTGGTGTGACCTTCGTCACCACTCTCTCCTTATTCTGCTCTTATTCCCCCTTTTCCAGGATCCATTGATTTCCCTCTGTCCTATTCATTTTCTCTCTCCCTTTCCTTATTCTTTTCTCCTTTTAAACATATTTTTAATCATTTTTAAAATTATTTTATACTTTTTTTGTGAAGCGCCTCGTGATTTTTATCTTAAGAGGTACCACATAAAAGATCGTCTTCTTCTTCTTACGTGTTGGAGTGATTACTGTCTGGAGGAGATAATTTTAATTTTCTGTAATGATTTAGGACAAGATTCCTCAACGAAATGAAAAACTGAACCCATTTCATATTTATAAAAGGTAAAGTGTAGTTACACTGAATTTCTACAGTTTTAATGCTGTC